CGAAAACAAGGTCAAACAACCTCTATACAACGAAAGGAGACTGCGACCACACAAAAGGCCACACTATTTTGGTCTTCATATCTTCCATCAAACTATGTATGTAAGATTGCCAAACAATGCACTAATTACAGCCGAACAATGAAGACGATTGTAACTCCGTTCCTCTAAGTCTTCCTACTAATATGACCATGTTGTTAAAACAAGGTCAAACAACCTCAATAGGGGTGAATATGTCTTTAAACTCACAGTAATTCTTTATTTTTTTATTTTTTAAATATAATTTCTTTATTGTTTTACCATAGGCCTTAATCGCTAACGGGGATCCTGAAGAGGCACTTATCTTGCTGCATCGAGTTTCATTAATTATGCCATCCTCAAAACAAATAATTCAAGAGGTTGACAAGGCTCGTCGTCTTCTGGCTGATACTCGTCGTCGTCGTGTGCTTGCTGTAAAGCGTTTGTTTCCTGGTCTTTCTGATATCGTTAATTCCTCCAATCTGGATGCAAATTCAATCTCTAATCGTCATTCTTGTTTAGATCGAATGAAGTCATGGGTCGGAGTAAGCTCAAGTGTTTAATATTCACGATCAAAAAATTAGTTTTGGTACATATTTAGAATTATGTAGAATTATATATAGTATCGACGTTGTTTGACCTTGTCTTCGCAACTTTGTAGGAAGACTTAGATGAACGCACCTAGTCCGGAGTACATTGCATGCATGATCATTTCCAGAATAGACCATGGACGTGGTACATTCCCAGACGTTTCGTCTGCATCGTCAGTGAATCTCGCCATTCTTAGCACCACACAAGAACTCGTAAAAGATATAAGTGAAGCCGATCCTTTGACTAAACGTGTGCTAAACAGTTGTGATATTTCCCCTTCTGCTCTGAGCTATTCGCATTTCCTATAACCTCGTATAATGCCTTCACTATCATAATTTTTCCTTGCTTATTTAAATGTATTGTGATATGCCCTTTGAGCGGCCTTCATGAGAACCCTCTACAC